ATCATGGCTTGTTTAAGTTCCTTAGTTGAAAACCAATCAGCAATTCATTTAACAAAAGTTGAATTATCATGGAGATCTGATACAAAAATTCCTAAAACAATTTGTAAAATAATTGAAAATGAAAGTTTTTGGCAAGATATAAAATCACTTTTTAAAGTTCTTAAACAACTTGTAATAGAAATTGCATTATTCGAATCTGATACACTACAATTAGCCATGTTTTATGAATGGTATCATAAACAGTTAAATTCAACAGATAAATTTTCTAAAACAATAATTTTAATATACGTATAATAATACTACTATAATAATAACTTATTTGAGTTTAGTTTATTTTTTTCCAAGTATAGAAAATGCGATTTACGAAATATTAGAAAAAAGATGGAAAAAAATTTTTCACCCAGTTATGTTACTTGCACATTTATTAGATCCTAATTATTGTAGAAGAAGTCTTGCTCGAAATAGTACAGCAATTATTGAAAGCTTTATTAGAAAGTATTATTAAAAAGATTCAGCAATTATTTGGGAGCAAATAACATTTTATAAAACATGAAGTGGTAGATTTGATATTAAGCTTGCATGGGATACAGTTGACAAAGTAGATCCGATTATGTGGTGGGACGGAAATTTTAAATTAGTAGCACCTCAACTTACTAAATTAGCTATTAGAATACTTAGTATTCCATGTTCTTCTGCAGCTTCTGAATGAAACTGGTCTGCTTTTTCATATATTCATGATAAGAAATGAAGTCGATTAACACCTGATCATGTTTTAAAGCTTGTATATATTTATAGTAATTACAAATTAACTCAGCCACGTGAGGATTTTCAAAAAACAACCAGAGTTCTAAATTCGGTAGAATTAAATAATTATGAAGTAGAATCATTTGATGAATCTTTTAATAATACAGAAGATGAAATTGATGGTTATGATATGGAAACATTTTTAGATGAGATTGATGACTATGATACGAAAACATTTTTAGAAGATTCGAATAATGAAAATTATGCTAATACTGATGAAGATAGTAATTTTATTGTTCTAGAATCAGAAAGTGAAGATGAAAGTAGAAATAAAAAAAATAATAGCAATGAAAAAGAGATAGGAAGTGATGAAGAAAATAGAATAGAGAGCGAAGAGAAAGATAAAAGTGATAAAAAAGAAAACAGAAGTGATGAAGAGAAAAGTAATGAAGAGAAAAATA